ACCTTCACAGGAAACCTGCCATCTAGATTATAAAGAACACCACACTCCCTGCCTTACCAAACAAAAGACTTGTACCATGGTGTGAAACATGATGCACACTAATATGAATCATAAAAAGCACTGCATGATAAACCCTTCACAGGGATGAAATGATATACAAATAAATGCATAATATTTAAATAATAACTTAAGTCAGAAGTTGGGCGTGAGCTAATGAAATGAGCAGTGTAGAAGGTGATTATTAAATATAGTCACTTTTCAATGATAGTTATTTCTCATTTTAATTTCATTTTAACTTTTAAATGTCTTGGCTTACAAACAATAATGATATATATGTAGTACTGGAGTAGAGTGAGGTATTTCAATGCATTGGTCAAACCAGAGTAATTAGCATTTTTATCTCCTTATCATTTCAGGACCAGAGAAATGGAACAATAGCAGAAGTCAGATCTGGTTGACATCACCTATTTTCTGGCCTTTATTTTTACTTCTGTCTCCTCTTTTTACCAACTACCTTCCCACTGTTGGCCCTGGGCTCCTCCACTTGCCTTTCTTCTGTTTCCTCTCCTTCCCACAACTACTCATCTTTCCCTGACTTCCTGGATCATTCTCTTTTCCTGCTTTTTAAAAAATCGATGTGGTTATCCTGACTTCCACTTTCAAATGCTCTGTGGTTCCAAAGCTTGAGTAGTGCTAAGGTCATGCAGGGTCATGTCGTGAATTCAAGTTGCCTGCTACACATTTCTTAACAAGACATTAGAATGAGCACATGGATTGTGAGAGTCATCTGGTGTTTATTTTATGGCAGGGGCCAAAGCTTTCTGCTTGGGAAAAAGAAGTATGCCAAAGCTAGCCTGGCACCTAATCAGTCAGTATTACCTAATTACCTTTTATTATCAACCTATAAGGGGATAGATCCCTAAGTTCATTTTAAATGGCTCTTTAAGGGTTAAGCAACAAAAAAAAAAAAACAGCTCCTCATAATTTGGTGAGAGTTGAGAGTTTGTGAGTAAGACAATATAGAGATAAATTAGACCACAATGCTATACCATGCTGTAGTGTGACATTGAGACAAAGTGTATATGTCTAGTGGTTTCTTTTTGCAGACTGGATTCTATTAACTCTCCTAGAAAAACAAGAAATGTCAGAGCCTTTCACAAAATCCATAAACACAGTAGAAGCAGCAATATTCTTTGGCATTTAACCTCTTAAATCCCGGGTCATGAGTAAACTAGATCATAAGGTGTCGACTTGCCCATTGCCAAATTTTGCTCATAGAGGATTGAATAAAAAAAAAAATCTGAAATGAAAAAAAAAAATCCCAACAGCAAGAGATTGCAGGAACCAGCAAGAATAAAGGCCAGAATACAGAATGCATGAATTCAATTATCCCTCCAATTAGATACATTGGTTTTCTCTTAGTATTTGGGTGAATTCAGATGTACATAAATACTGTCAATATAAACCCACAGTATGAATGCACACAGACGCGCACGCACGCACACACACACACGCATGCGCACACACGCATGCGTGCATACACACACACTCCTCCCTCTTTCCCTTTCCAACTATGTATGTGTCCTTTGTTCTCCATTTTCAAATTAGTAGAGACTGATTGACCACAGAAGGGCCCATTTCCTCTGTACAGGGAAAAACTGAATCAAGTACGCCAGGTGTTCACGGATCATATGCCTCATTTCTTGACTTCCCTTGTCTGCCTCTGCCTAGGGACTGTGAAAAGCAAGAGAGGTTGTTATGCAGCACTTAAGAACATGGAGTCTGAACCCATACAGCATCTGAGAACATGGAGTCTGAACCCATACTCCCTGAATTCAAATATTGACTACTTCTAATCAAAAACTGATTAGAAGTATGGCACTGGACAAGTTATTATTCTTAAGTGCACAGGGAAGTTTCTTTACCTGTAAGCTAACAGTCATAATAAGTAGTTGTATGGAGTATATGAGCTAATAATAATTATGAAATCAAATTTGCATAGTCATACTAGCTTCTGATCATATGTATACTGATATAGACATTTGTTTTTCAATTATATTGTACATTCAGTAGATTTTGTGTGGATTGGGTTGAGAACCCACTCACGCACCATGTATAAAGTAATTTCCATGGGAAAATGGTCTTCTGAGTCCCAAATACTCAGCTTACAAAGAGATTTCTCAACCATACCCTATCCTCTTTGTAAAGTGTTTCATTATATTGGTGCTGAGACTTCATATGCTTACAAGCATATTTCCATGAAAGTCTCCTGGTTTGTTTTTCAATGACTTAATGTAAACTTTATAAACTGCTATAATGAACTCGAGTCACAAACTAAAGCTTTTTAATTAAATAGTCCTATTGCAAGACTGCCTTAATGGAAATTTATGGGTTACATATGGATTGTCTTGAGACTCTTTTTGAGAAATGTGGTAACTTCCACGGCGAAGGCTTTGATCTTTCTCAGCTGCGGAAATTGCCAATAAGGTAAATTCAATTATTTCCCCAATTAGATACACTGTTTTTCTCTTAGAGTTTGAGTAAATTCAGTTGCACATTGAAGCTAGTGAAAAGTTTAGTGGTTGTATGTTATTGTCAAGATATTTACAATTATCATGGTGATGTCTGCAAGACTAGAAAACTTTAGCTAATGTTTATTCAGTGGAAAACAGCTACCATTTTGTTTTTGCTTATCATATTTCTAATATAAACATAGTTTATGTCACGGTCCTATATTGCCTCACCTTAGGAAAAATATAGCCTACTTACTATTCTAAAATGTTCTATTAGAAGGACCTTCCTTGTTCACTGTCAGCTAGAAAAGATAAATTTTTGAAACTGTGATGTTTCTTGACACAGTTTTCTCAAGTTCCTTTCATCTTTCATCTATTTTTTTCAATCTAGTATGTGCTTAGCTTGATCCTGATGTCTCGCCCATTTATAGCGTATCCTTATGTATACTACACATAGAACATTCTTGTTTCTTCCCTAGTGAGCAGTGGTACTTGGTGTGACTGTTACATGAGCTTTGACTAGTGTGTATGTGTGGGCGTGGGAAGAGAAAATGCCTAGGGTAAGATTCAAACAGAGGAAAGCTGACAAAGGAAGCAGGAAGCAAGCCCATACCACATTCCATGCAAATCCTTACTGTGACTTGTGGACCAATGAAGTGTTGTTAGGAATGATAAATAGGAAGAAAATCAAAGCTCCTCTGACTGAGTCATCTTTTATGTGAGCATAGGATTCTCAAATCTCTACTATTTCTTTCTACCTTCTCCTTCCTGCCCTCCCTTCAAATGTTCTTGGAGAGGAATTTGGGGCAACACCATCTGAGTCCCATATCTTTGGACAATAGGAGGCCACTAAGAGCTTTTAAGTAGATAAATGAGTGACAAATACCACGTGTTGAGATAGAGTTGTTCAAGTGGGTATGCTTAAGAGCAAAGGGATCCAAATAAGGAAAGTCAACTAGGACTGTACTAAAGCTGTCTGAGAGAAGTCCTGCTCTTAAGCAAAGATAATGGTGCTATAAAGAAGTGGATGACTATGAAAGCCATATAAATGTTGCATTGGTTGCCTAGTGGAATAACTGTAAAAAGTTAGGAGGCTGATGGTATAAAGAAGGAAAACACAGGAACGGTCCTGTGCTTTTTTGCTTGAATTTTCAATTACTTTTTAAAAGTATCACATGATCATTAATTTTCCCCAGTCTTCTTCATCTCAGACTTAGCTTCGCTGAAAAAAAAAATTTGGTTGCCATTTTTGTGTTAGCGACAGCTGTATTTGTGTCTCATTAGCAAGACAGTGGGTAGCAATTTTTTTTTAATGAAGACAGCCCCCAGCTCACACACAGGATGTGTTCTAAAAGTTCGCTTTTAAGGTAACTATTTGAAACCTAGAGTGCGTTTGCCCATAGAAACAGCCTTATACATAGTAATTAGGTTCCCAGGCCAGTCGACAATGGCCAGTTTAGTCCATACTTCAAGTGAATGGGTGGATTTTTGCCATGGAAATTGAGTAGAAATAATACTATTGCAGTTACACTGAAAACAATCATTGAAAAAGAAATAGTCTGAAGGTTTTGTTTTCTTCGAAGGGGCAGTGTTTAATGGAAAACATGTTTAATACTAGGAAAATGAAGTAAAAGACATGGGGATTGGATGCCACTGTATTGAAGATGCACTTTAACTACTGTTTCAGGGTGGGGTTAAAATAATGAAATCAATCTTGTGTTTATCATAGAAAAAATTGAAAGCTGCAAACTATATGTTAAAAATCAAGTCCCCAGTAATTGTGACAAGTTGATTTGTCTTAACTTTTTCCTTAAAATATGCAATTGTATAGTTGTATAGTGCATGTTCATTATACAAAGTGATAGCCTTCAGAAAGGCATTTTGACTCCTGTGTTAGTGTGTACTTGGATAATTCTGACCCCCATTTGTCTATCCTGTCTGTCACTGCCCATGCCCTTCCTTTTCCTCAGTAGCTCCTCTTCTACTTCAATGTCATATCTACACACGAAAACATATACGTGTGTATGTGTGTGTGTGTGTGTGTGTGTGTGTGTGTGTGTGTGAAATCTACATTTCATTCATGAAAAAACCCATAATGTTTGTCTTTCTGTCTCTGGCTTTTTTTTTTACCTTCTCTATTTCCATCCATTTTCCTAGGAATGACATTACTTTAGTCTTTTACATCTCCTTCCATCAGTCTAAGGATAGTATTAAGGTGTATCCACATGATGAACTTCTACTACAACAATAATAACTATTATTATTAACAAAAAATAATCAGATCAATAACCAACCAGGTTAGGAGTCAGCAGTTAAGCTATCTATCAATACAACCTAGTCTCAATCCCACATTCTAACAGAAACCATATCCATGTAATTCTCTAAAATGGGCTTTTTTAAAGATCTAAAATATAAATAATAAAATTGACTTGTATAGAAAGTTTTACTATGTATATGCTGACTACAGTTGAATATTTTTCATTATAGGCCTTATATCTGATAGCCACTAATGGAACCCCAGAGCTCCAGAATCCTGAGAGACTGTCAGCTGTTTTCCGTGACTTCTTAAATCGCTGTCTTGAGATGGATGTGGATAGACGAGGATCTGCCAAGGAGCTTTTGCAGGTGATAATACAATTAGGCAACTTACAAAGTTATGCTGAGCTTTTCCATGCTAATGTGTGGCAGGAAGAGATCTTTGTTGAAAGATATGTAGTTAGAGTTGGGCTGTTGCCATTCAATTTTAGATCCTGGGCATGTTAAATATAGGCATTTATCTACTACATACATCATTGATTGATTATGTTGCCTTGCTTTTTAAAGAAGAATTTGCATTTTAATCTATAATTCTCTTTTGTTCTTTCTGAAATCTGATTCTACAAAGAAAGACTAACCCAAATGTGACTCTCTGGTATTGCTGGGGGTTTTATGTTCTTAACTTTACTTGTACCTCTGGATGTTATATGGAGGTGCTCTTGGCCAGAGGTGATTTTCTACATAACTACCACATCTTTCCATACCTATCACCACATCTATGTCCTCCCCACATCAGTTTTTCCTAAGATGTCAAAGATACAGTATCATTAATGTAACCATGCAAATAAAGCATAGAATCAATTATGTAATTATAATACTGGGAGAAATGAACTTCACGGTTCTTACTCCAAAGTCCTTGTAGTTTATGTCACACAAAAGAACTCTGTTGTGGCAATTTTAACATACCTTTCAAAATATTGAATTTAAAATGGCAAGCAAACATTGTAGAGGAAATATTCAGAAGACAACTGATAAGGAAGAAGAAGAAGAGCGGCAGAAGGTCTCTCTCTCTCTCTCTCTCTCTCTCTCTCTCTCTCTCTCTCTCTCTTTCTCTCTCTCTCTCTTACACACACACACACACACACACACACAGAGAGAGAGACACACACACACACACATTGAGTTTGTGAATTATCTCCATAAAGCAGATGATGGGTTGAAACTATGATAGAAATGAGATCTATTAGAAATTAATCAGCAAAGTGAGATAATGAGAGCTACTTTGCGGTAAACAAGAGGAAGGAAAGATAAAAAAAGGAGGAAAATCCCTGAGGTAGTAGAATGTCACAGATCTGCAAAGAAAGCAACCATTTAAAAGAAATAGAAGAGATTTGCTTGCATCAATTTTTGCAGATGAGCCAATAGAAGTGGTGGAGACACAGCTATTGGGTTTGGCAGCTAGGGAGCCAATGGTTTCAGAGTCAAATTGATTTTAATGCTGAGTTGAAGATACTTTTTCAAGCCTGAGAGCAGATCCAGCACCATTCTTCAATTTAAGAAATGTAGAGTGTCTGGCCATTACCAAGTGAAAGTTTCCAAACTCTATACTGAAGAGATTCTAGCTGTGCCAAGTTAATTTCCATAGAATTTCTTGACAGTGAAAGACCAAAAAGAGAAAGAAAATCTTAAGGACAAAAGCTGGCAGGGATTTTAAAATAAAATAGTGTTTCAATGAGTACTTGAAACAATTAAATGCAAAGGAGCATATTGGAATAGGTAAAGTCACACTAACAAAAGTAGTTCTTTAAATAGGCAGCTTTTGTGGAAATTTACCAGCCTGAATAGTCATAGACCTTGTAAATAGGTAGCCTTGGCAGACAATACCAACTTAGATAAAAACAAGTGAATCACAGTGAGTCATAGTGATCTGTCCCCTGAACCTTCACCCAGCCAATACCCTGTTCTGAAAGATATCTGTATTCTCCCTGAACTCCCATGCTCCAGTGTCATCCCCTTCCCCACATCCTGCCTTTCTGTGCTTATAACCCCTGTGTGAATGAATTAAGATTTGAAAAAAGAAATAAATTATTAAAATAATAAAAAATAAAATAAAAGAATCTACTTAAAAAAAAAGTAGTTCTTAACCTGTGGGTCATGACCTGTTTGGAGATCACATATCAGATAGCCTGTATATCAGATATTTACATATTTACAGATATTTACAATTCATAACAGTAGCAAAATTAGAGCTATGGAGTAGGAACAAGATAATTGTATGATTGGGGTCAGAGCGACATGAGGGTCATGAAGGGTATTAAAGGGTCGCAACATTAGGAAAGTTGACAACCACTGTATTAATGGGAAGGGGGCATTCTAGTAATTATTTTTTTCCTCTCCCTTTTACAGCATCCGTTTTTAAAATTAGCCAAGCCTCTCTCCAGCCTCACTCCTCTGATTATCGCTGCAAAGGAAGCAATTAAGAACAGTAGCCGTTAGAACTGCAAGCCTTACCCCTCCCTCACCGACTCCAGGATGAGTAAGACTGAAATAAAACTCTGCTGCAGGATCCACAGAAGAAAAGACAGTCAAATGGAGTGGGGGTTCTTTAACTTTCAAGTGAATAGAAACTTCTTATAAACCTTTTTCCTACTCCCTCAGATTATGTAATTTATTTGTAAGCCTGAACCGCAGCCCACACAGGGCAGCAATGTGAAGTAGCCATTAAGTGGCCACTTCCACCGTGAAGCGAAAGAGCCAGTAGTGAATCCCCTCATTTTGTGCATTTACTTTGAAGAAAAAAAGATTTCTCAAAGATGCACACTCCCTCTTCATAGTGCTGTGTTTGTTTTTAAGTTAGAGAGTAGTCCCTCTTCCATTCGAACCTCTTTCAAAATCCCTTACCCAACGTGATGTTTTTTCACTTGCATTGTCATTAGATGTCCAGAAAAATAAAAGATGTCAAAATGTTTTTTTAAAAAAAAGAAAGCAAAAAAAGCAAAGAAAAAAACAAAACAAAAACAAACAAAAATGAAAAAAAATAGAACAAGTGCCGTGTGAAGCCGTGGACGTCCATGCCCTAATAGAGTCGCAAGTTTTTATTCTTCTTCTGTAGTAGTGGCTTGGTTTGTGTATCTATTTTTCTGCATTTGTATTGGAAAAGGTTTCCTTTAAGACATTTTCCAAAAACAGAGAGGAATATGAGTGTTCAGGATGGGCTTTTAAACGTTGTGTCATAACAAAGCTCTAATTGTGAGATTCTGTCACATTTCGCATGGATGCTAATGTAGTAGTTGAATTGTCATGTAAAGCAGCTTGTTGGCCTCTGTGATAACAGAAAAAGGACACACTGACAATGTGGCAGCGCTGCTGGTTGAGTCCAGGTCCTAAACCTAAGCTATCCTAATGGGAGAAACCTTACTTACACAAAGATGGGACTTTCTCTGAGAGCCAAGAGGAAAATGCAGAACTCCTCACTGGGCAGTAAATAAGCAAAGATAATAGTGAATTTAATCCTCTCTTGTGCTCCTGTAACATAAGCATTGTACAATAGGCACATTCTGAGGAAATAGATCCATTAGCCAATGTTCTTCATGATAAAAAATATTCATTTCTGGCAATTTGTAACACATAAGAATTTTTTAAAGCTCTAGAGATCAGAGATATCGTAAAATAAACTCTTTAAGAAATGGAAAGTCAATGAAAGTTACATCCCAGTCAACACTTAGCTCTCAATACTTGAAACTGATTTTTCTACCTATCTCCACTCTCTCTCTCTCTCTCTCTCTCTCTCTCTCTCTCTCTCTCTCTCTCTCTCCCTTGTTTTTTGGTATTTGATTGTGGTATGTTCTTATTTAGTTTCTTGGGCGTTTGTCCTTTAAAAGCATGTTCATAAAGGTGTTGGAAGTTCACCAAAAAAAATAATTTTGATCTATACTCGTATTTCCTAAGAAATAGTCCAATGGAATTCCTTTTGTGGCTTGGGGAAAATTCCAAAATTTGACTATTATTTCATTACTTGTAGTTATTGAAAATTTATTAATCTACATGTAGAAAAACATCTGGAAGGTGTCTGCATAGAAAAGAATATGTCTCTTTTGAGTGTATAGTCAGTTGTATGAATTCTAGAAAGTTGTTTCTCTAAGCCTTTGAAAAGCCAACGATCTATGTTATATGGCATTTCTTAATTTGTAGAGTTAGAGAAACTAAATAGACTTTACCTATATTCAGTGGGGGAGGGGGTAGCAAGATGAGAGGCATATGCCTCTCTGCTCTGTGAGGTCCATCTGTCCATTTAAGCATCCATCCATTCCTTCAAATGAAAGCACTTTCTCTAGAGTTTCTGCTGATCATATAGTACATATGTTTATGTTGAGAGATAGTACCACTGGTGGATTTCCTATTTTCCTACATTATAAAATTAAGGAGGGGTTTATCCTTTCCTTGAAAATATCCACCATGGAATAAAAGACAAATGTGAAAAGAAAATCAAATGATTATATTAATTTCAAGTTTATTTTGCAAAGAGATATCTGGGCCTAAAATTTTAAATGTCACATCTCTCTAGTGAGAAAGGAGTAACCTTAATTTTTTATTCTATTTTATTTTAAATTAAGGATTTTTCCCAATTGTAGTGCCAGGGAATTTCACAAAATACCTGGGATGTAAATAAAATTCAATTGATTGATGGCTATGCTCGGCTAATAGAGAGAACCCAAACCCTGGTTGGGAAGTCCAGGATGCCAGTTAACATCCTTTGCATGTTGTAAAGGCCTTTGTTGTTGTTGCTGCTGCTGCTGTTGTTGTTGTTATTGTTGCTGTTGTTGTTGTTGTTGTTATACTTATTTAAAATATCCTGGAGCTGTGGTCCTTCAGTTCACTGTTGGCAGAGAAATGGCTGCTCCTGATGCTCTCCACTCAGCATATTAACAGTGAAGGGCCAGGAACTTACTTACTTTGTACCAAGAATTAATAGTCTATTCCAGTAGGCAGTACTTGTACAAAATTATACCTGTGTACATTTTCAAATGTGAACAGCTTCTAAAGTCTTTTACTTGTGTTGAAGAGTTACATATATTTCTAATAAGTATTAGAGAGAAACTATTTCTCATGCCAAAATGATGCTGAAGGGTCCATACTTGCTATACTTGAAGAACAGCCTCCAGATGGTTAGTAGTTTATTCCCTTTCCTTGATTTTGTTTTGAGCTCATCTTAATCCAGGTGAGGCTATCCAGATGTTTAACATTACTAGTGTCCCCTGAGACATTTGTGGGCGCATTTTTGAATGTTGATTCAAAAATGTCCTGAGGTAGGAATAGGGCAGTAGGAAAGTCAGGGAAGGGTGAGAAGCACAGTAAAGATTATTTATTTAAGAAAGAATAGAACATTAATATTGTAGCAAGGATCCAGTTTGTTGTCATAATCCCATGTGGATTTGGGGATGATGCAATCGCTCTAAATCAATCAACATGTTGGATAATGACTTCGTTCTTGCTGATCATGTCTGTGTGTTATTGTAAATATTTGCGCATCCATGCTCCATTTTGGCTACTGGATGGCCAAGTCACTTAAAAGATTTAACTCAAGTATTTATTCTTTAATTGTGTTCTTCAGATTTCTTTTAGGCATATGAATTGCACCTCCAATGTTTTAGTTGAACCACCTAATCCTCACATCTATCTCCTCCCTGTGAAGCACATTCCATTGCTAAAAGAAAAAAAAAAAGAAATATAAATTGCTTCCTGTTTTCTGTATAACTGTTTTGATAGTTTAAGATGTTTGTCTATAATGGATATTTCTCACCTCAAAGATTGTGTAAATAATTATATCCATTTCCTCAATGGGTCATTTATTTCTAATGAGGCTGCCAGTTCTCAGAGAGAGTCTATGAAGTCGCTTTTAAACAATACAGACAGGGATTACATCTATGTAAAGAGAAGTGTGCATATGGATAAAGACTGGGAACACACATAACTGAAATCAGTTGTGTTAGGGTGGTGGGGTTCTGTGAATTTTTTTCTTTCAGAAATTTTCTTTCTTTGGTATTGATATATTAATAGTTTAAATAAATAAAAAAAAACAGAAGGGGAACTATAGAAACATAGAAGAGATACCAGAAGCAGATGCCTTCTGGCCAGAGCCCAGAGCATGCAGGGCACAGATATTTCCTAGTTACAATTATTCTGTAGGCTTAATACTTGCCTGGGTACTGAGGTTGGCACATGCTCAGGTATGGCACATGCTTTCTTATGAGGCTATTATCTAAGTCAAGCTAAGGAGACATCATTGCTAGAACTCCAAATGCATTCTTCTGCTACAAAACAGGCTGCCCTCAGCTTTAGTATGGCATCCAGGTGTCTATTTTGTTTGCCTTAGATTGGAGGGCTGACAACTTAATTAGCCCCATTGATAATACTTGTTTTAGATACCACCTTTCTAGCTCATTTTAAAAGGTTTTCAAGGTCAATTTTGGAAGGATAGAAGGATAAAAGAGCTAGCTCCCTCCAGTTCATTACAACAGGACCTATAATTCTGATAGGAGTCTTTTTTAAATGACCATAGACAAATTCCATTGGTTACCATGGAAATTATCATATTCAATTAAGCCTAACTCCAAAATTATTAAGAGAAATATTTAAGATGGTCTATTAACATTCAGTTCCAATTCTATTAGTTTTGGCTTGAGATGGCCTCTTTATGCTCTTATGCTGCATGATTGTAGCATGTAGGCAGCAATTGTGTGTGTGTGTGTGTGTGTGTGCTTAAGAGAAATGGAGGCCAGCCATCAAAGGAGAAGAATTTTCTTCTAACCCACCAAAGAAATCTTAGGTGAGAACTTTACTAATGTATGTTACACAGTGTCATCAAAAGCAGACCATAGCCCCAGAAAACTCAAAGGGAATTACTTAGCTATTCATAATACATATGGAAATCTTAACCCTGCCATCCTGGTTGAATCTTGTCCTTTTCTGAGCTCTTTGAAGTTAATATTCACTGAAACAAACGAATGGCATGTGGTATAAACATCTCCCAGTCTTGGAAGAAGAAGCCTGAAATTCAGCATTTGTAAACTGACAGTCTAATGGGCCTGGGATTTGGAATAACATTAACACACAATACTGAACATATATTTGCATGTGGATTGGAAAGGAAATAAGTAGGGCCTTGGGAATAAGGGAAATGTTTCTCCTACGAAAGAGTTTTTCATAAAAGATTTATTTCTACTATAATTTCAGGTTGTTTGGCTTTCAGTTTTATCTCTTCTGCTTTACATTCCTTCAGCGAACAAATATATCTAACCAACTTCTCATGCATGGGAATGTCTGTTTATCATCAAACAGTATCTCACTGAATCTGCAAATGTGGGAATTGAGATATCGCCATGTGCACACCTCTGACTATACAAATATTACCAACTTGTAGCATTGACTGCCACTTAAGTCCATTGAACTTGCAAGGTCAACTTAGAAAATCTAATTAGTGCCACCACATTCTCCACAGAAGCTACCATCAGGCGAATCCTGTCCTATTATACCAACAGTAAGGCAATTATCATGTTCATCTGACTCAGTACCTAGGCAAAAACTGACAGTAATGCTAGAGAATAAGGCAGATGTAACAGAAGTAACCATCCCCAGGAAGGAGAGCTAGATGTTAACATGGGTATTTTACCTAACTTGCTGTGTGACCTCGAGAAAATCACTTAAACCTTCTATTTTATTCATCTATAAAATAAGGACATTGAATTAACTGTTCTTCAACGTCTTTCCAAAAGCTCTAACATTGTGTGGGGCAACAGTTTGCCTTGCAAGTTCAGCCTGCCAAAGTGATGGCAAATATCACAAGCTTAAGCCTGGATCTCTTACGTTGCAGCTCCATACAACCATGTACAATGGAAAAACTCAAGTAAATGAAGTTAACAGCACCAGGGAATATTGATCAAACTCATGGAAACCTTCCAACTT